ACGCACCCCCGCGGAGGGTCCTTCTGCTCCCCCCTCCTCCCCCCCCCCCAGAAGGCAATGAGGACAGGGGGCAGGCAGGGCACAGCCTGGAGCCATTCCCAGGTCAAGATGGGGAGATTTTGTTTGCTTCACATCTATTTTTTTTCCCCAAGTCCTGAACTCCCAATGACTCATCTTCGGGCTTCACGCCGTTCTCCTTCCCATCCTTACAGGTTCTCCAGGTCCGATGCCAGTGCTTGGGGACAGGGACGCACAGCGGGGTGCTTCCACGCCTGCCCCCAGGTTATTTACCCACTGAGCACAGCTTGCTCCCTGGCTCATCCCGCAGCGCCAGGACCAACACCGGGGTAAGGGGTCGGGGCTCCCCATCACGCACGGGTGCTCTGGGAGCAGTCAGTGCTGAGCCCATCCATCCCCACCACGCAGATCTTCCTCTCTTCCCAGCTCTCTGAGCAACGCGCGCACCTCTGAGACCTCAACAACTCCGCCAGGTTCAGCTGGGACCAGAAAGAGGCGCAGGAGTGGCAAGGAGGCAATGACAGACAAGGGGACAGCACGGAGGCTGTGCCTTTTGGACACCAGGCACGCAACCCGACGGGCATTTCATCCCCAAGAGAGCCGATCTGGCTGCAGAAAAACCACGGGGAGCAAAGCCGAGGAGCAACTCCAGCGAGAGGAAAGAGCTCGGAGAGCAGCGGCATCCCACCCGCCTTCCCCAAAGGCTTCTGCCGAGGGGTTCTGCCTCCTCGGAGCCGAATGTCAGAGGGAGAGCGCTTTCCTTGACTTAACCTTGACAGCTCAAAGCAAAATAACTCCCAAATCATTTCTAAAGGGACATAATAGAGACAATCAAATGGCCGCTGTTCAGAAGCTGCGATTATGCCTCGCAGCGTGAACTCCGCGAAGCATTTAACTAATACCTGATGGCTTTGCAGGCTTCCGCAGCCTGCCAGACACTGCTTGCTCTATTATACCCGCAAACCTCTGTTTTCTCAGCCCCAGCGTGCTCTCCCTCTCCATTCACTTGCAATACAACCTGTAATTTTCTGCCCACTTTGCTTAAGTGCTGGTGATTTGTTGAAATCACAAAAGACAGCCAGGGGCTTTCAGAGCCAGCACGCTGGCTGCAAGTGAGGTTAGGGTGAAAAGAAAACCACCGGCTTTTCTCTATTTCTCCCCGTCAAATCGGCTCGCAGCGGTGCGAAGGGGCATTTAGGGGCTCCCAGGGAGAAGGCTGAGCTCTGAGCTCGGGATCTGCAGCTCTGAGCAAAGTGGGGTTTGCCCATTGTGGCAGAATCACATCTTATCCTCAGCAGAATTGACCTGGTGGTATCTTCACCCCAAATCCAGAGCAGAGCAGTGGTGAGGCTTCACTTTGCAGCTTGGAAGGCAAACGGTATCCTGGGCTCCAGCAGAAGAGGGGTGGGCAGCAGAGACAGGGAGGTGATCGTCCCTCTCTGCTCTGCTCTTATGAGGTCCCACCTGCAGTGCAGTGTCCAGGTCTGGAGCCCCCAGTACAAGAAGGACAGCAGCTGTTGGAGAGGGGCCAGAGGAGCCACAGAGATGATAGGGGGGCTGCAGCACCTCCCTGCAAAGACAGGCTGAGGGAGCTGGGCTTGTTCAGCATGGAGAAAAGAAGGCTGCGGGGTGACCTCATTGCAGCCTGCAGTACCTAAAGGGAGCCTACAGACAGGAGGGGAATCAACTCTTGGAAAGGGTTGATAACTGCAGGACAGGAGGGAATGGTTTGAAGTTGAGAGAGGGGAGATTGAGGTTGGATGTCAGGGGGAAGTTCTTTGCTATGAGAGTGGTGAGGTGCTGGAACAGCTGCCCAGAGAGGCTGTGATGCCCCGTCCATCCCTGGAGGTGTTCAAGGCCAGGTTGGATGGGGCCCTGGGCAGCCTGGGCTGCTGTGAAATGGGGAGGTTGGCGGCCCTGCGTGTGATGGGGGGGGTTGGAGCTTTGTGATCCTTGAGGTCCCTTCCAACCTGGGCCATTCTGTGATTCTGTGTGCTGTGCTCATTGATGGGACTTTGACTGCCAGCAAGACACTGAGATGCTGCAGTGCATCCAGAGAGGGGCAGCGGAGCTGTGAAAGCCTCACTGCGGCTGAGGGAATGGGGTGGGAGAGTATGGAGAAGGGTCAGGAGACTTCATTGCTCCTGAAGGGAGGTTGTGGGGGGGAGGGTGGGGAGGGTCGGCCTCTGCTCCAGGTAACAGCAATAGGATGAGGGGGAATGGCTGGGTATGGGGAACAACTTCCTCTCCAAAGAGTGGAGAAGCATTGGTGTGAGCTGCCCAGGGGGTGGTGGGGTCACCGTCCTTGGAGGTGTGCAAGGAATATGGAGATGCGGCACTGAGGGAGGCGCGCAGTGGCGCGGTGTGACGGGCTGGGGATCTCGGAGGCCTTTCCCACCCTGAGTGATTCTGTATGACTTGACTTTATGGAGCCCACAGGGATGAGACGCACGCCGGGTTCTCCAGTGGAGATTTGGTCACAACAGCCTAAAGCAGCCCCTCCTGCGCTGTCCCTGCAGCCCTCAGCCCTCCCGTGGTGCTGGAGGATAAGGAACAACCTCTGCCCCCTGGTCCTGCCGCCATTTTGGGGCTCTGCTGCTCCCCCCCTCCCCTCCCCACCTCCTCCCCACACATCCGGAAGTTGGAATGGTTCCTTCCGCCCCCCCCCCCCCCACCGCCGTCCCCGCCGCTCTGGCGCCCCCCTGCGGATCCATGGCGGCACTTCCGCCCCACCCTCCGAGGGGCGGGGCCACATGTGGCCACGCCCCCTATCGCTACCCAATGGCGCGTTGCGAACGCCGGGAGTGGGCGGGGCCAATCCGGTGTGTCCGTGCCCCCCCCTTCCCAGAGCAATGGGCCGCCCCACACACAGCGCTGGAAGGGTCCATTCATAAGGCGGGGGGGGGGGGGAGGGGATGTGATCAGGAGGCACTGCGAGGAGCTGGGGCAGCACAGAAGGGCAAGGAGGGCGTCCCGGTGTCACTGCAACGCTGCCCTATGAGTGTCCATCATCACCGCATGCAGTGCCCACTGTCACTGCAAACACTGCCCCATTGCTGCTCATTGCCACTGCGTGCACTGTCCCATGAGTGCCCATTGCCTCTGCACAAACTGCCCACTGTCCCTGCAAACACTGCCCCATGGGTGCTCACTGTCACTGAACACATTGCCCACTGTCACTGCACACAATACTCCATTGCTGCCCATTGTCACTGCACACACTGCCTCACGGACACCCACTGTCACTGCATGCACTGCCCACTGTCTCTGCGTGCACTTCTCCATTGCTGCCCATTGTCACTGCATGCACCATTCCATGAGTGCCTACTGTCGCTGCTCGTTGCCATCACATACATTGCTCCATTGCTGCCCAGTGTCACCGCACACATTGCCCCATGACTGCCCATTATCGCTGCAAACACTGCCCCATTGCTGCCCACTGTGTGCACTGCACGCACTGCCTCATGGACACCCACTGTCACTGCATGCACTGTGTCTCCGTGCATTTCCCCATTGCTGCCCTGCCCATTGTCACTGCATGCACTGCTCCACTGCTGCCCATTGTCACTGCACACACTGCCCCATTGCTGCCCATTGTCACTGCACACACTGAGCTCCCAACAGAACGCAGTGGGGACAGCGCTGAGTGTGACCCCCATGCCACCCCCCCAGGGCTGAGGTGTGTGGGGGGCTCCCACCATCCCTCCCTGGGAGCATGAAAAGAAGCTTCCACCGTTCCCTTTAACGCTGACCCCCACGAGGAGCTGCTGCTTCTGGTAACGAAGCAATTAATCATGGTGAACGCAGGATGGATTTGCAATCAGGGCCCTGCCTGGGCCCCTCTGTGTTGCACAGCACTGGATGTGTTCCGGCCCTGCGCTGTGTGCAGGGGGGGGCGGGAGGGACTGGTGCAGAGCATTGATCCTGGGCAGTCGATTTTATTGAAACTCCCACGAGTGGCTTTAACTCCGCGTCGGATATTGCTGGCACATCAGTTTGATGGTGACGTGCCTGGCTGGGCGCTGCCTTGTGGGGTGTGAGGAGGGGAAGGGCAATGGGGGGCCCTGGGGGAGCCTGAAGGGCTGGGGCATCAATGGAGTTGGGGGATATGGGCGGGGGGATGTGGTGGGTGTGCAGGGTCTGCATGGGAAGTGGGGGTGGGTGCTGGAAAAAGGGAAAAAAAGGAGGAAAAAAGGGGGGAAATCAAGGTAAAATGAAAGTAAAAAGAAGGGAAAAGGGAAGGGAAGGGGAAGGGAAGGGAAGGGAAGGGAAGGGAAGGGAAGGGAAGGGAAGGGAAGGGAAGGGAAGGGAAGGGAAGGGAAGGGAAGGGAAGGGGAAGGGAAGGGAAGGGAAGGAAGGGAAGGGAAAGGGAAGGGAAGGGAAGGGGAAGGGGGAGAAGGG